AAGCTTCGGTTTTAAACCCGGTGAAATTTTTGTTGGCACTTAATCAAACTTTTACTGTCAAAAGGTCGTCTCAAGAATCCATGAAACATTCATTGGGAGTTTCAGTCGCCTCGAAGATCAAAGGTTCATCATGGATCGCTCCGCACGTGACGATAGTAAATTCCTCACAATTAAAATATCTTCGAAGGCGCCGTGCATAACTCGCCGCCGACTCCTCGTCTCTCTTACCGCGTGTTTTAAATCATGCACTGCGTGACGGAGATCTTTCGCGGACCTCAAATTAAAATTATTTACCGACACCTTGCCCATTAAGGGCCCATAATTCATTTCTCAAAGGAATACGTATCGAAAATAGTAAAACATGAACCGCTCTCGTGTCTCCCACGCTAATCGCGACGAAAGCATGTTAGTCGTTGCAAGCACCGACTGACGTTGTCACATGTGGGTGTTAATTGCCTGACCAAAAAATAACCTGTGTGCGATCTGTTATCGTCGTAGAAACGCGTGTTGATTAATGCGAGCGCATATGTTTCTTTAAAGTTAGCACAATTAAACGAAAGCTACAAAACGTCCACTTATTTATGATCTGCTATGTGAACTGGAATTTTTGCTTCTGATCCGCAAAGTGCAAAATTTATGTAATTGGTGTTAAACTATTATCTTGCTAAATGTTGTTAAATTGTTTTATTATTGAGTATTAAACAAGTAAGAAAATGTATAAGATGTAAACTGAGAAGTTAAATTTAAGACAGAGCACGAACGAAATGTAATACTCTCTTTTGAAAGACATTTTTTCGCCAAGCAGCGTAAAAGTCGTAAAGTCAAATCGGATCCTCGGAGCCACATCATTTATATGAAACGAAATGGGACTGCGATATTTTTTTTACGGCGTGAAGAAGGGGAACAAATGTCGCTTCGCCCGACATCCGGGTCGAAATCGCCAGAGAGAAGAAGAAAGATATCTTCCCGCGCATATTTCTGAAAGTGTCAAGGCGACGCGTCATCCTGGAGGTCACGTCAGTCTTGCGGCTGATGCCGCACGACCTCCCTAGAGACAACCCGGGATATTCTGGAGCGGGAGCGCGCGTGCCTGATGTACGTTCCGACTGTTCTCGTCACTATATGAATGTATATCTATACGTGTGTACATCGTCATGTCTTACCACGTGCACACGCGCGTCCACACAGAAGAGTTTCGCACGTCCGGGAACGTCTGAACATCTGAACGCCGTCGACTGTATGATGGATGCGTCGGGTTTGACGTAACGTAATAGGTACAGACACGTCAGGGAATGCGCTCGCGTCCCTCTCTTCGCCTCTTTGTTTTAATACACACCGCAAAACGCGCATGTATACGTGCAAGTGGGCCTCGTTTCGCCGGAGGAGACATCGCCACCGCGATTTAGGGGAAGATACCGTCGATCCCGGAGCCGGTTCTTCGCAAAGTGTACCTCGGAGCATCCGCCGGGGCCTCGAGACCGGTTATAAAACAGCGATGTGGCGCGACGGGGGAGAGAGAGGGCTGTCTCGTGCAATTTGTTTATGACATATATCTGAGAATATACATCCTGATTTTTTTTATGCGGACAAGTTTTATGTATGCAAACCACCGTGACAAACTGTGAGCTGTTGAGCTAAAGGTGGATTAATTATTCGCACGGTAGAAACATTTTTGCGAACTCAATGCTGACACATTGGTATTAAATGTTATTCATGTTATTCGGGATAAACACGCGCGATAAATAAAACCACCGTACGTGAAAATTCGCCGTTTATATATCTGTAGTTAAATGATAGAATCCCAGATGTTGTATGCCATGCAGAACTGCTTTATCGATTTGTCCTCATAGTTATATCCGACAAATCGACAATACTTTTATACAATTCTGCCGACTTGACTACATCTCGACCTACTCGCGCGTGTTGGTATAATTCAGACTATAGACACTGCTCAAGTAGATGTCAGTGACGCAAAACGCTTGGCTCCTATCCACGCGATTATAATTCTTATGGCATCGTTCGTCTCGTTTCCCATGTCTTTTAATGTTCTCGTAATATTTCTTCACATTTTCATGTTGACAGTCGTTTCGTTTTGTTCGCTTGACGTACAGCGAAAATTTACGTTCTTCACTGAATAATCATTGAAGTATCGCTGTCACAATCAATATCTGGTAAATTACATCTGTCGCGTTTGTATTTTTGCCTTAACATACAACTTAAGTCACTTTAAATCTCGCGTCACGTCACGTTGAATAAGACAGCGACCTCGACAGCGACGTAACTAAAAAATAATTTTAAGAAAAACGAATTTCAAGTTTTTTTTTATTTTCCGAAATTTGTGGTGATATATTTAACCGATTAGAATTTTCCAACTTTCCGTTTAACGCCACTTCTAGACAAACTCATCGCTGTCACATCTTCCCGTGATACGGTGCACGCAATCTGGGAATGCGCTTAGCCGCAGATCACTCAAGTTATGAAAAAAGAGCGTAAAGAAATATGGCAAGCAAGAATAGAGAAAAACACAGAAAGAGAGTACAAGATCGGCGTATCACCGATCGATAAATCAGGGCGTGTACACCCCTCCTGCTGGAGTGCCTGCGAGGGTGGCACCGTCGTCGTCGTTGTCGTCGTCGTCGTCGTCGTCGTCATCGTGCGTGTCTTGATGGCACAAATAAAATACGACCCCAATTTCACGGTGCAAACCGCGAAACAATGGTATTGATTTTATTTCCATATCGGTCCGGTGGGGGAGGTAGGGAAAGATAAGCACGATGTGGACGGAGGGATTGGTTGGATCGGCGGTCTCAATCGCGGTAAGGAGGGCTGAAGGGAGAGAGGGAAAGGCAGATAAAACAATGGTTCAAAGGAAGAGGCGGGCGCGTCCTGGACCGGAAGGTCCTGGTGCGTGCGAGGGGGGATGCGAACGCGGTTCCTAAGGGTATATATCGAGCGACGAATGTCGGACGTTCAGCGTGCACGTCACGTAGTGGTGGAATCGCTTGCCGAGGTGAGACGAGAGAAACGGAACAGAGACGTCGTCGGCGACGGTGGCGATGGAATGAGGAAAAAGGACGAGAGGGGAGGAAAGGGTGTAAGTAGGATAGAGGAACCGCGGGAGTTACAGGGCGAGTTTATCCGACAGCCCTACGCACGCTAGCATAATTAAGAAAGTTCCGTCCGGGAGTTTTTTCCCGGTGTCTTCCGCCATTGTTATTCTTGGGTAGTAACGACGCTAATTAAGCCGACTGTGAATAGCGCAATAGTGAATTCCTGACGAAAAATTTACGGCCGACATCGGGTCACGATGTCGCGACTAAGCTGGGATCAACGTTACAAGATTATGTGAATCGCTCGCGAGAAGACGTACGCGAGAACAACACAGCCAGCGAGCGATATTAACATTCAGTCGACACGCTTGCCTCGGTAACGCGTTAAATTCGTCGTATTACGCGAAGATATTTTGTCAACGCGCGGAATGAAAAAAATCTATACGGTTACAGAATCCTCAATGCGCCGTGAAAATGAACAAAACCGAACGCGTGTTAGCTAACGTAAATAAATTTCCGGCGTTATCGCGTCGCTCGCTGTTGCGAAATCAGCTGCCAGCTATATGTTCTCGTATAAAAGCATCGTATTACATTCATGCGCGCCTCTCGTAAAATCACGTAGATACTGTTCATTCTCGTAAATTCGCCAGCCTAACGTATAAATGCGCGGTATACGTGAAAATGGATTACTGCGAAATCGCGATTTTCGTAAAATACGATTGCACATATAAATATTTATATGCATACGCATATGTGTGTATATCTATATGTGCATTACATATATATAATAATAAAAACTACGCATCTATATATAGTTCTTATTATTTTACTTATGCATACACATTACACACACATATGTATATAATAATTATATACATTTATATTTATAAATATATATAACAGACTGCACGTTAAGTTTTTAAAGCTTCACTGTAATCGATGATTCTGTCGCCTTTCGTAATGAATCAGTAATGTTGATTCCTTGTGAAGGTCAACACAATATAACGCGTATGTCGTTCAGGCGACTTGTATAGATCTGACCATCACCCTCGGTGCAGTCTCGGTCCAGCGGTTGATGATTAAGCGGGTACAAGGAGATTAGAAACAGAGGATGCGCGGAAATAAACGTCGAGTGATCGCTTTGCGCGAAACGTTTTTTCGTTCATCCTACTGTCGCTCGTGCGCATTGTGGTCACCGAGTCGCGGAAGCGAAGAAATATATACCGTAGAGACGTGTTTTTGCGAATAATCGGCTTTCCGCAACGGCGCGGAGGTAAAACTCCGCCGAAAAAAAGCCATTGGTCATTTTAGCGGACTTATCCGCGCTTCTCGATTCGTACACGCGCCACCACCGTAGTCGTATTTCGAATTGACTTCCATATGATCGATGTATACGCGCGATTATATTGCATGCCGGATATAGAGAATTTTTTTCGATTAGGTACATTTTCCGTTGCTTCCTGTATGAGAAGTTCGGCTTTTATCCCGTAGAAATCTCAGAATGAAGCATTCAATCGAGTATAGGCCAGATATTTATTACGAGACTTGCAGGCAAAGTTTTTCAGGTTTTTTTTATTATTATTATGAAAGAAGCCATTCTTGAATCATACATATTTTCAAGAAATTTTAGACGTAGTGTAAAAATGAATAATGAATAATAAATTACTTAAAAAGAAAAATATTAAGAAAAAGTGGTAAGACTTTTATTTTGGTTAAGTATTTTTTAGAAAATTATAACAAATCTTATTAGGCAGGATTTTTTCTAACAAACCTGATTTGAAAAAATATCGTAATTCTAAAAACAGAGAATAAAAAATTTGGTAGTCCTTATTTAAGGGACCTTATCCTATAAAAGCTATTATTTGTGCATAAATCATTTGGCTGTTTCTTTTCAAATTATTTTTATTGATGTTTATTTTTGTGTAAAACGCTATTATTTTCTTTTTATAGGACACGAAGATGGCGAAGATCTCGGAATAAAACCGCAGGTAGTATTTTTCAGTTTTAATACTCCGAGCGCGTGCATCGCATGAAACAAAAGTTCGTGCCGCAGGTTGGACGAACTGATAACTATGGTAACTACTTGCGGCAGTCGGTTAACTGCGGGATTCCCATGCATATCCGCGCTCGCGTAGTTGAATACAATAAGGTGAACGCACTCGACCTTGTACATATTGTTGCGGGGTCACGTCGAAAACGCGGATATTATACAATACATCAAGATGAGCTTCCGAAAGTCGCTCACACTAAACATTCATGAAGCCCGTGATATTGCCATTAAATCGACATGGGAATACGACTTCATTCGCGTACGCGATTTAACAAAATACGCATGCTATATTCACGCGGCATTTATTGGCCGACCGTTTTATATGCCGATATTGTTGCCAATAATACGGCGGATATTGAAGCGGCACCGTAATGTACATTTGTTCCAAAGACCATTAATATTAATTCCATTATCGAGTGGCGCTGCAATTAAATGACCTGATCAGTTTTTTCTGTTTTTTTCTTTTTTTTTTAAATACTACCAATAATTCCGGAAATATTTTAACTTATACCATTTTACACGTACACGTGCTTCATACGTCGAACTTCGAACAACACATACACGCGCGCGAAATTTCCGCGGAAAATAATTCTGCGAGACCATCAACGAACGGGAAATCTTCGCCGCAGTGCTAACCGTGCGCGAGTTTTCCGTCGGAAAGGCAACATTGATTTAAGATAACGCCGAGACGCCAGGAATTGACAAATTGCCTGAGACTCGAAAACCGACGCGGATAGAAAGGCATCGTAAGACCGGCCGAAGGTGAAGGGTAATATGTCGCGGATGGAAAAGAAAGGTTCTCCGACATGAGATCGACGGCGGGCATGCCGAGAGACAGGGAGAGAATGAGGGGAAGAGGACAATAGGACCGATAAATAAATCCGTAATCGGTGGTCCACGGGTTTACCCTGAATGGCTCGATTGGCTCCTAAAGGTGATTTCCAGGAGGAAACGCGGGTTCGGGGTAAGAAAAGCTCTTTCACGCTCTTCATCTCTCTTCTTGCTGCCGCGCTCGACCATCGGTATATCTTGCCGAAGGGCTTTACTTTTGCCGCGGTACCTTCTCTCGTCCCTTTCCACCTTTTTACACCTTTCCCTTTGCTTCACGGTTGCTCTCTGTTATTTGCCGTCGATTCGTCGTCACCGGATGAATCCGTGCACGTGAAAAATAATGACGAGAAAGAGGAGAGCTTGTAATTAACTTCTCGTCTCTTCGCCTCGCTTCATTAGTCTTCAACATGATGCGTGTGTATAAATATGTAATATCTATTTACCAAAAATCGAATATGCGGGATAGATGTTAGATTTAACTATAAATATATAATGAAAAGCTATATATTAAGTTTCGAGTGAATAACGTATTCAAAATATTTGGTTAGAGATCGAATCCCGTCATTAATTAAAGTTGATCTAACGTTACCGCTTATCCTGCTCTCTCTCTCTCTCTCTCTCTCTCTCTCTCTCTCTCTCTCTCTCTCTCTCTCTCTCGTTTATTCCCATTTACGTTCAGGCTACTTCCGTAAAAAAAGAGGTGAATTAAATGACTATCGTGCGACTGAGGTCGCGTGCAGTCGTCGGTTCGGGTCTAATCGCCGAATCTGTTAGCGTATCGCCGCACGTCCGCGCGACTCTAAATTCACTGCGCGAGAAAGTCGAATTAGCATGCGAACCGTAGTACATTCCATGAGAAATACGACCCTAATACCTTACTTTCATTTGCGTAGAAATGAATTGTCCGTATCGCCGGTCCCGCGCTAAGTACAGAGATAAGCGTAGTAAACGAGTACCAATTACCGTACTCACGGATTCCACTCCTGTGCGTGGTATATTCGCGGACAATCACGCTAATCGTCACCACCGATGACAATGTACAAAGTGTCGTGGAAATAACCTGACACCCTTTCAAGCTTAATCACTACGGAAGCAGACTAAGAGACTTAATCTTCAAAGTCTTTATCCCTGCAAAATTAAAACCTCGCGGCAGATAATGAATCCCGATAAAGTTTTTCATTAAAAAATAACGCAGTTTGAATTTACCGTAGAAACTATTATTTACTTATAGTTATAAGAAGTCGGAGTGATCCTGCAACACCCTATATATACTCGCTTAAGATTATTTCCTGGTACGATTGCGTACACGCACGCGTATGAATTGTCGTTCATTCTTTCTTTTCTTAATCTGCCGGACATCGCATGAGTCGCGTAGTTTACGAGTCGGCGTCGACCGCCATATGCCCCGTGCCTCCGTCCGCCGGGCTCGTTTCTTTCAATAATAGAGACCATAATCACGCGTATCCCACTTCCGTTTAAGCTGGATAAGCCGCGACTCGCCGCTGGCGAGAAAGAAAATACCTGGCGCCGACGGCCGACCGGGGAAACTTTTTCAATCTGCCGTCATTATGTGCGAGTTTAGTTCGCGTTGGTTCACCTCTGGTTAACTACTCTCCTCAGCCGTGCGCGGCTCTTCCTGCGATGCTCGAACTAATTTCCAAGGAGACGGGCGATGGACTTCGAAGAGCTGCGAGGTAGCCACGAGAAAGCCGCCGTATTCTTTACGGAACTACCTCCTGCACCGAGCCGGAAGCGAAAAGTAATTCATTAAAGTGTACGACTTCCGAAGACACTTTATTCGGTCTTTAGCGTGACTGGTAACCACCCATAATCCCATGAATATCGTCGCATGGCGTTTGCGGCTGATAGAGATAGGTTGAACGTGCGGATTAATTTATATGACATAAGCCACAACCAGATGTACGCGTCGTGGTTTACGCGAGATATATTCACGTTGCGAAAAAAATTATGCAATTTAGACAATTTTGAAATGAAATGAAATTGTATCAATCCTTAGGCAAGTCATAGAATTAATAAATTTGATATACAAAGATAAGTTTCTTGAAATTCTCTCCCAGAGGCTTTATACGTGTATGAAAAGGTTCAAATTAAGTAAACAAGCTTTAAAATTAGAATAGTAATAATTTTTCTATGCGAAGCCTCAAAACATGATTGCGTGATATTTTAGTGAAACACGCAGTTGTCAAAAATAGTAAAAATACTATAAGGGGTCTCGATAATAACACATGTATTTTCTCTCTCTCTCTCTCTCTCTCTCTCTTTCTTCCTTTTTTCCTTCCTTCCTTACAAAAAGGTTGCGGGTTTAATTATCGTGCAACGCATATATTCAAAAATTGAACGTAATTGCAGTCGTGGAAAATATTAATCAATGGGACTTCTTGAAGATTCATCCACAGTTCGGGGGGGGGGGGACTTATTCTCCTTCCGGTCGTTGAAAATGCATGCAAGAAGGAAAAAAGGAGAAAGGAGAAACGGCCAAAGGAGACCGAAAACAAATTACAGCAGTCTGTCTTCTTTCGCCGCACGCAAAATCCCGCAGCGTAATTTTCCCAGCAGCGAAGCCTTCCCGCCAAGCTTTTCCTCGTCTTTTCAGACCGACGCTGACGAGACACTTTCCTTTCTATAGCGAAGAATCGTTCGTTAGTCGTAAACCGCTGTCGAAAAGACTCTCGACGAAATACGTATTACGGCGATGTGACCACGACGGGACTATAAAATCCCGCGGAAAAGTTAACATCTCGTCTTTATGAAATTTCGCTAACTTTGTGAACCTGCCCGTTCTTCTTTGAGCGAACTCTCGATTGGAAATTCGACGCTTATTTCGTCGTACAATCACTAAGTTAAGCCGCACTCCGGGGTTCTCGCCGTTAATTCGTCCCGCTGAATAACACGAGATGCGTGAATACTTGCAAGATTGAATTAATTTGTGAAATTGAAAATGCGGGATAAGCCATCATTCCATTTCCATGCCAATGTGATACCGTTACAACTACGCTATCAATTCCCAGAACATTGTTCGGACAAGAGAGAAATAAATTTAACATATTCAAAAGAAAATTAATTAAAATTCGGAGAAATACAAAATTCTAATAAAAAAGATAACATTCAACACACGTGAATAATACGAGATATTAATTCGGTCAGAGTATTCTAAAAAAATTTAATATTATTTGTTTCATAAACATTGACCTTTCTCCAAGAAAAATAGCACGTAATCAGGCCGGATATGCATAACAAATGGGCTCGAAATTTAATTACATTTCAAACTAGACGCTAATTAATATCACCATACGAAATCATTACTAATATTAATAAATTTGGCTTTTCAGTTTGACTGAATAACAACGCATATAATATTATCTACGTTACGATACGGTGCGGATGAATATTATTTTACATGTTAATTTTCAACAAAGGGTCTGATAATTCAGTCGGATCTGCGATCATCTCGGTGCGCGACCCTGTCCACTGACATATCGAACAACCGAAACATCCAGACGAACGACCGGCATACGCTTTTGCGGCGAATAAAGAGCAACGTATTTTCATTGCCGCTGGCTTTTCGTGCGGCAATGGAAGGAGACGGCGCGGGCGGCAGCAAGGAACGGCGGGATAGGAGAAGGAAAAGCCGCGGGAAAGCTGCGAGCCGATGAAAATGACAATGCCTCGCGGGCACACGTCCGACGTTTTCCACCGCCTTCTTCCACCTCGCCCTCCTTCCTCTTGCCGTCCTTCACCTTCCGCTGAAAGCGAGTTTCGTAATAACCGGACGAGAAAGAGCGAGAAAGAGGGAGAAAGATGATCGACCGTCGCGGTTCATATAATATCCGGAATATTGGGTGGCGAAGGGGTGGAAAGGGGTTCGGCTTCGGAGAAAAATGACGCGGGATCATAATAAGTAAAGACGAGGACGCGGAAGGCTGGATGAAGGTCGCCATCGATGGAGAAATCACGATGGTCTTTTCTTTGGCATTCTTCGCTATATCATTGTTGCCGGATAATGAAACGCTATATCCACGCTCGTGTTTGTCAAGTCTGGCTTCCGTGATTATTTTCGCCCTGATTTTTTCAAAATCAAGGGAAATG